CTGTGTCACACGTTCTGTTGTCTTTTCAATTTGTCCATATATATATATATATATATATATATATATATATATATATATATATATATATATCTGTACTTGCTATATTCCATTGTCTTCAGTTCGTGTCAGATGTCTTCGGTTATCCCTCTTGTTAACGACCATATATTACAATTGATCGTTACGTTTTTTCATCTTGCTAACATTTACTAAAGTAACAAAAGCAGACAATGCGTACATGCTGCTTCAAATCTCTTCTTCATCTATAACAAAAAGTATGCAATGCCATACAAGTAAATAGCCTATTTTTTTTTCGAAATCACCAAACCAGTAACGTCACGAAAACACAAGGGTTTAAAGACTGTGGAAGAATTAGGAACAGAAACATTAAGGATGAACAGAAAGAAAAAAGAGTAATCAGGTGAAGAGTAGAGAGTGATTGACATTGCATTTAAATTTTTGCAGATACAAGTTGGTTGGAAAGCATGTAGTCAAATGGGAGTTGCACAAGCAATGAGTACGAGAGAAGAGACTGTTAGCATAGAATTTACGGCTAAATCTAGCCAGCTCAACTGTAAATTAATGAGATCTCGATGCCGGTCTAGCCATGCGCTTAAATTCAAAAGCTCTAGGTATCATAACGAAGAGCTCATTTGAACAATTAATATGGAAGTATTTATAGAAAAGACACAGAGAGGTAACCTTATGGCAATGAGAAAGTGACTGGAACCGAGCTGCCACATCAGGACCAATAATATTGCAGATTCTTCTTTGGATTTTATCAAGAGGCTCAAGGTAAATATCATATGTGTGAGCAATATTCTAAGCATTTCGACACACCTTTCTTTATTTCTAAAACATTATTATTATTATTTTCTTTGATTTCTGGCGTTTACATATTTCTTTCCGGGTCCCGCCCAGGGACCTAAGGTTAGAAATGCTGTCATGACACTTTCCACTGACAAAAAAAAAAAAAAAATTAAATTACATAGATAAAGCCCTTCGTAAGGTGTGGGCTGTACTTGTCAGAACAATTTTTTGTATCTCCTTGAGGCATGGACTTCCAGGAATCCCTTCAATTAGTCTACTACAATCTTTTCCAACCAGTCCTAGGGCTCCAACTACAACAGGGATTGTTGATGTTCCCTTATGCCACATTATTATTATCATTATTATTACTTCGTTCCGGGTTCCAAACAGACAGTTACATTCAGAAATGGCTTCATGACATTTGTCCACTTATCATTTTTGTTAAAACAAAAATGAAACTAGAAAAACTGTATAGCAGCAATTCTGAAAAAGCGAAATATCTCCATTGAAAAGTAACAATCAAATAGTGACTTTTACTCGAGTTGAATTCAGAATGGAAACAAAAATATAGTTAAGCAGCCTAGTAAACAATTTATTATTATTATTAGTAGTATTATAAGTAGTAGTAATATTATAAGTAGTAGTAGTAGTAGTAGTTCCTAGGATTTCAGTCGTATATACATTTCATTCCGGTTCCAAAACGGAAATCTAAGGCCAGAAATGGCTTCATGACATTTTCCACTGATCATTTTTGTGAAAAGAAAATAAGATCCCCACACATTTTAAATAGATAAAGCTCTTCGTGATTTGTCATCTGAATCCCTTCAATAAGTTTATCGGAACAATTTTCCAACTTCAACTACAACTAGAATTACTGATGTGCCACATTTCTTTAGATTTACATTATATATTGCTTATATTTTGATAGTTTTTGGAAGATCTTCAAAGATAAATTGCAATCTGCAGGAACTGTCATGTTAATAAGAAAGCACATTCTGTATTTGTGGTCTTTGATCGCGCGTTTCTGGTTGATTAGTTTTGGTTATTTTGTCTGTGTGTATTACAATGTACCATAAGATTGTTACAGGTTCTATCTCTGTAACCGATTCTGGAGGATGTCCATATCATTGCCGTTTCTTTCACGTTAAATTTGCATATTATTCAGTGCAGATAATATCACACTCTATCATACCGAGTTTTATATACAGCGGGTGCTAACTCTATGCAATCTGATATAAAGTGGCCAAATGTTTTGGGACATTTATTATTATTATAATTAGTAGTAGTAGTTGTAGTAGAAGCTGTATTACTATTATTTTTATTTTTATTATTATTATTATTATTATTATTATTATTATTATTATTATTATTATTATTGTGTGTGGTATTATCTGGCCATAGATTAATATTAGGTACCTAATTATCACTCTCATCCGAGGAGTATGAGTAAAATGAGCACTGTAGGAGAGTTATCTATGCATATGTGGGACGTTTCGTTTAGGTGGAGAGGTATTTTCCGATGATATGTGCAGTTTCACAGAAAGTAATATTTGGTATCTCTGGGGTGATAATCTGTCCATGAATTGTACACAAATGATTTTCGTTAACCTTCTTTATCTTACCCAATGCCTCTTTCAAAACAGGGATAATTGTAGTTTTAATTTTTCACATTTTTGTCACTTCGATTTGTAGGTATTATTAATTTTGACATTCAACAAACTGACCCTGGTGTACAAATATACGAAGACAAATATTCTCGTCATGACATCCACAATGACAAGAGTATACCAAGACCATGCTCTAGCGAGTCTTACCCCTGAAACCGCCGACTGCGGAGAGGCCGCATTTTGGAGGGCATCGTTGTGCCCTCTATTATTTTTTTTTAATAATTAATATCAAAAATTAGTATTAATATTAATAATTATTTTTTTTAAACTGACGTTACATCGTCATTGCACAAATAATAATATATATCGTGTATCTGCATGGCCGGTGCGGTGCGTACTACACAGAAACCCCCGATGAGATTTGAGCTGCATAAGGGCAAGTTTCAGCTGCATTTCTTCGCTTTTTATACTTTTTACTTTTTTTTGTCTAAGTTATATTGTCAATCATCAAATACAATAACTGATAGGGTCGGTGCTTTCTACCCCGAACCTCTCAACCGTGTGGGGGCCCCATGCCTACTGGTGAGGCGAGGAAAGATGTGCTAATTTCAGTAATGTTTATTTTTTAAATTGTAACTTTCTTTATGAACAGGTCTTTTAAATCAATTAAAAGGATAATATACATTGGTAAAATAATTTTTTTTTTTTATTCCGAGATCATCCACTAAGATTTTTTTTAGTAATAGTAATACAAACCAGAAGTCTATTTAAAATAAAATTTCTTCTCCCTAATTTTTAAATTTCTAGAAAAACAAATTCGAGAAAATGATCGCTTAAAAAGGAAAAATAAAGATTTCAACACATGAAAAATTTTCCGAAACGTAAAATTTTAAAACAAATTTTAAGTTTTTATTGTGTTGGAATCTTTGTAAAACTGTTTTGCAGCAGTTACTCTTTTGGGCAATGTAAAAATTTTCGAGTAAAATTTAGTCATGAAAATATTGGCGATTATTACAAAAAGAATAAAATTTTCTCAGACGTTTTGAAATTTAAAAAAAAAAAAAAAACTATTCATTATGAAAGTAGATAAATAATGAAGTTTTCATTTAAATTGGATAATTCCGTGATTTTTTTTTTAATTTAAAAAAGCGCTGCCCTTCCCCGCTAATTATCCTTCGAGTGTTTGTACCCCCCAGGTTAGGAAAATATGAAATCGCCATGTAGCAGAGAAGGGAGCCTGTATCAAAGTTTTGGGGTTGGCGAGACCCTAACACCGGAACCAACATGTGCCATAGCCAAATGTATGACATATTATCCTAGGTTTTTGATCAGATCAGCGATTTCTAAGTGAGGATCTTCGCAAATATCTAGATATGACTATCAGGTTACTTGGCTGCCTCATTCTTCAAACATAAAAGAGGTTACCCTGCCATGATGCTTACTCAGCCCCCCACCCCGTTTATGTGTAGAAATGTGCAGTTCAACAACACCTAGTGGACATACGTAATTGGTTAAACGCGACGAAGGGTGAAAGATTTAGACATAAATTTTACCTTTTGGATTTAATTTTGATCAGATCATTTATTTCAATGTGTTCTTTGAATTTGACAGAAATTCAGAAGAATATTAGAAATAATATTTTTTCTGTTTAAAAGCAGAGATGTTAAACACGCGAATACGATAAGTGACAGCTAACGGCGTGATTTTTGGAAGAAAAAAAAACATGCTTTTCTTGATGAGGGTATTTGAGAGAATTCTAACGTAATTCAACCTTAAGAGGACTGTCAAGTATTTCTTTCAGTTTTTTTCCCTTAATTACAAAGCATAATAAATTCTAATGTAAAGAGCGTATTGATAAAGATAATCTCTCTGAAGAATAGGACAGAATTTCTCAAATAATAAAGATAGTAGAAAACAGATTAGATTTTATCGAAAATCGATTACATTTTCGATCACAAGAAATTTACAGAAATCTTCTTTTTCTTTTTGATGAACTTTTTCATTTATTTTTACTGTTTTCCTCCTTTGAGTTAATGTTTTATTTAATTCGATGTACTTAAGTTTCTTCTATTTTCCTTGTTTATTTTGAAAAAAATATAATTTACCATTTAATTATTTCGTTGTTAAATTTGCAACTCATTCCTGTTTTTTTCCTTCCTGTCTCTTTCCTTCGATTTCATTCTGTTTATCTATTTCTTTAGGTCTATGTTCACATCACGTTGAAGCATCTTTTTCTCTCATGATCACACAAGTTAAGCAACGTCGAGCATGGTCACTATTTATAAGGGTGGCCGCTTGAAAATAACAGGTGTTATGAATTTGGATGTCATTGCTAATGGCTCGGAATTGTTCATCGAACAGGGGGGTTGTTATATTTCCTTGGAAAAGGTAAAAAAAATCCACCTGTTCTCCCCCAGCTATGGGTTTATTAGTAAGAGCTGTGTCACTAAATCATTATTATCTCATAAAGACACAATGTAAAATATATTTTATCGCTTTAAATAATTTGGAAAAGGGTTGATAAACCGTAAGAAACAACGCAATCAATCCATTTGTTTCTTTCATTTTTATCTAACTTCCATTTAGGTTCATTCTCTTTCTTTATTTTCTCTCCTTCTTTCTATCGTTCTTTCTATCTTTATTCTCCCTTTCTTTCTTTCTCTTATTCTCTCATTCTTTCTTTCCTTCTTTCTATTTTTCTCTCTCTCTTTCTCACTTTCTTGCTCACTTTCTTTCTTTTTATTTTCTTTCTCTCTTTCTCTCACTCTTTCTTTATCTCTCTATCTTTCTCTCTCTTTCTTTCTTTCTATTTATTTTATTTCTCTCTTTCTTTCTCTCTCTCTTTCTTTTAATTGCAATCAACTTGTTTGGTTATCTTTCTTTTGACTTTATTTTTTCATATTTCTTCATGCGCCGTATTTTTCTTTCTTTTTTTATATACTTTTTCTTTCTTTCTTTTTCTTTCTTTCTTTCTTGCTTTATTTATTTTTCTTCGTTTCTTTCGTGTTTCTTTTCTTTCATTGTTTTTGTTTTTCTTCACCGAAAATTTTTCGTCAGGATCTTTGTTATTTTAAAAATGTTTGCTTCTTTTCTTCCCGCTAAAATTGTCCATTCCTTACATCTTCATCTCATCCATCCTATCATCGTTTTTTTTTTCTCGCTCGATTGTAATTAAAATTTAATCGTGTTTATTTATCTTAATTTCTTTTTTTTTACTTCTCTAACATCATGTGATTCAATTTTCCTTATTTTCTCCTCATCAATTTGTATTCTTCATTTCAGTTTTTCAATTTTCTACTTCTTTATTTTCTACGTTACTCTTTTTCTATGTCGCTTCTTTCTCTCCATTTTTCTGTTTCTTAAATTCCGTTCCTTTCTCTCTTTATTCTCCTCCCACGCTCTCACATATTTTATCCTTCTCTTTTCCCTCCTATTTCGCCACTCACTCTTCTCTGCCCCCCCCTCTAATACGCACATCTATTTTTCATTCTTCGTTTTTTTTGTTTTTGTTTTTTTTTTCGCTTTTAATTTGCCGCTATTTTTTTCCATCTTGCTAGCCCCTTTCATCTACTCTTTTGAACTCCCTCATTCCTCATTTCTCTCCAACTTGCCATCTTTTTCATCTTCAGTTGCCTTTCTCCTTCGCATGTTTTACTGAGAAGTGACAGAGAGTCGCCACTGCAGACTGCGAGCTTCAAAGTGATTATGTTTACTGGTCTCCTCCTTAAATCCTCTTCGCCGACCATCACTCATACGCCTGTCATGTCTTCGGAACTACAGATAAATGCTGCATGTGTTTATACCAGTGTCGATACTAGTTAGCAGCAAGGAAATAAAAGCAAGAAAACTCCCTGTAACTGCTTCAAGTACGCATCACCCGGCTGCATGCCAGTTCAAGTAAGAAGTCTGTTACATAAACAGAACAAGAATTTATACTTACCAATCACAAGCATTGGCAAACAGCACACTTGTCTCACGGCCTCTGTGTATCGCTATGGCATCACATGACACAAAGACAAATGAGCTTAAAGCAAATGTTTCAGCTGGATGAAGATAAAACAGATATTTTAAAGTTAGAAAGAATTTACAGTATATACGCTATAGTTCAAGATTTTATTATCAGTTCCTTTTTATTCAATAGGGTATCGCACTATACGCAGAAAATATTTTCAAAGAGATTAAAAATCAATCATTTTTATGATGGTTACACTATTCACAGGTGATGTCTTTCGGGATTAGTTAAAATCCATGCAAAATGATCAGGGGTCACACTATACATGCAGTCATATTATACATAAATATGTACTGCAACTTAATTCTGCTAACGATGTATGGAATTAATATATATTATACAGTGTAACCCGGATATAAGGGACCCGGATATAAGAGAAACCCGGATATAAGAGAGATTTTCTCTGGTCCCAAATTAGAGCCTGTGTTAATGTATATGAAATAGACCAAACCCGGATATAAGAGAAACCCCGATATAAAAGACTTCGTCTCCGGTCTCGACAACTCTCTTATATCCGGGTTACACTTTATATAAATATATTGGGTTGGTGTATAATTAACAGGCGTTTTTAAACAATATTTGTTATGTAAAAAGAACCATAACAGTTGAGCAATAATATATTTAAATGATTATTCAGAAGCGTATGATTATCGACACGAATTTTTACAACATGAAAATAAAATAATATTTTATTAGGTGAAAGTAAACAAAACAGCAACTTTTATTAACAAATAACTCGCCTACAAAATGCCTGATAATTATGCACCAACACAACACACACACACACACACACACACACACATATATATATATATATATATATATATATATATATATATATATATATATATATGTGAACTTACCATTATTCGTTTTATTGCCACCTTCAGGTTTTTTTGAAATTTTAAGGACATTACGCATGCTAGATCAATAACTCCTTACGGATTAGACAATAAACATTCTTCACCTGGTTTATTAAATAGTAGATTATATATAATATTGCTTCTCATCCGATTTTTCCTACACGGTATTGTTTGTTTACATTATATTAGTAGTAATAACCTGAACTTGCTCAAATTAAGAATAATCATTTCCAATTATTAACAGATTCTTTATACCATGAAATAATGAAAAAAAAACTGAAGCTTTTCGAACACCATAAGTAATTTCTTCAATCTAATTATTTTATCCATCTATAACGACAATTATATATATATATATATATATATATATATATATATACATACACACACACACACATATATATATATATATATATATATATATATATATATATATGTATGTATATACAGAGATAGATAGATAGATAGATTACTTAAACGTCGGGTACTCGTATCTGAGTAGACGCTCCGTTTGTTTTTAAAGAATATATTTAATATTTTTGCCGACCGGCCTAAGTATTCGAGAAATCTTAGAGATTCTGCACAATAATGAGTAGACCCCTTTCCTTCACGGAAACACATAAATACATACACGCACGCAAACACAGGTATAAATATATATATATATATATATATATATATATATATATATATATATATATATAGTGATGCATGTTTCATTAAATAATATAGACAAGTTTTGTCTATTTATTTTAAGAAAGTTCTTTCCATATTCTCTGATAAGCTTAATAACACCATTTTGATAGATGTTTAAATCCAATCTAAACTTAGGTTGGATTTAAACATGTATCAATATGGTGATTTCCTTTCGTCTTTCAATGAAATTGTTATTAAGCTTACCAGACAATATGAAAGGAACTTATTTAAAATAAATAGACAAAACTTGTCTATATTATTTAAGGAAACATGCATCAATGAAAAATTGTTGCCTAAATATACAGAAATATATATATATATATATATATATATATATATATATGTATATATATATATATATATATATATATATATATATATATATATATATATTTCAATAAGTACATATATATATATATATATATATATATATATATATATATATATATATATATATATATATATATAGGTGGCCTGACGATTGCATATAGCATGAAACAGACTGTCGCCTCTAAGTGTTGACTTCTATGTTCACTTTTATATATTTACACGCTCTATCTCTGATACTGAGCACCTTATTCCATAAATATAGCATACCTTAAGACTATATTTCTTTTTATATATATATATATATATATATATATATATATATATATACATGCACATTTTTATATATATATTTATAGAGAGAGAGAGAGAGACAGAGAAATACAACAATCCTCGATTGCATTTTTAAAGATACAAAGGCTCTCAGTTTTTAAATTTTAATCTTTGACTTCACTCTGTCTAGATGTTTAATTTTGCCGATTTCATTCAGTTTTTATCGCTAATGTAATTATTCACTTTTTAAAAAAGAATCTAGAATGTCAGACAATCAGCGTAGAACGGACATAAAGAAATGATTAATGCCGTGTATAAAATCCTGCGAGAAAGAATGTCGAGTTTATAGAGGTATTGAATTTCGCCTTTATCCGGCTGCCTCCGACAGATGTAGGATGTAAATCTCCCCTAACACCACTTCTCCATGCTTCTGTAAATTTAGCTTATTGAACGCATTGTAGATTATTTTATACTTAAAGGAATTTTTTTTATATATATATATATATATATATATATATATATATATATATATATATATATATATATATATATATATATATATATATATATATATATCATTTATACTTGATCATTTTTTAAAAATATCACTTGAAGAAGGCAAACATACTGCCGAAATATTACTTAACTTTGTCAAAAAATGCATGTTTTACAATTATTACCATGCTCGGACTATCATACACATCCCTTTTCGCCATATGTATCACAATGTTTCTGTCGTTGCACACACCAGCCTCCTTCCGAACTGACCTTTATTCCTCTCCCTGTTCTAGTTCCACATGTTGTGTCGAATTGAAGTCATTTATCCAATACCCCTCTCTAAATTCTCCACTGTCTTAACCAGGTATTGAACTCGCACTCTTTGGGCCTTGTCACTGGGTCTAACCAATGCCTTTATCCACTGTGCCATGTGACCTTGAGTGCATCGGTGTGTGATTTTCTGGGTATTATAAAACTAATGTCTTCGACAACAATTTTATACCAGTGCTGATATTGCAATTTTTGCTGTTATCATACATGTTTTTACCATAGCTCATATTGCAATTTTCTTTGTTATTATTGCTTTTCTCTGGAACGCCTTATTACTGGTTCCCATATCGTATTCATTTCTATGCTTGGTCGGCTCAGGAGATTATTGTGGCCTAGCATATGTGCTGATTCCTTAAGTTTTTGTTCTTTCTAGGGATTTTCTCTGTCTATGATCTCAACCTGATCCCACAAATGGCGGTGATCTCCTTTTTCTCACCATATGTGGTCAGCCACGCCTGATTTTTCCACTCCCCCTCGTGTTACAGCATTTTGGTGTTCTTGAAGCCTTAATTTAAGGGGGCGGCCTGTCTCCCCTTTATATTTCTTTCCGCAGCTGCACGGGATGGTGTACACACAGTCTTTAGTCATGTTTTCCTCTATGGGTGGGGGGTCTTACTCGGGAGATGTATCTGCGAAGTGTCGCCCAGCTTTTGAAGGTTGTCCTGATGTTATATGGACTGCAAATCCTTTTTTTCCGATAACCTCTTCACATAAGGCAGGCAGATTGTTTTCTGAGTGTTGTCGTCGTCCTCTTGTAGCCACCTATCCCAGTTTATTGGGGCTGCTGCCAAGTACCCAGGTTAGTTGTAACGTTGTAGGGTACTGCTTATACTGACCATTTTTTATGTAATGATATGGGTCGCCATTTATGACTTTTGTTCGGTGTTGTTAGCAGCGGACGATCCCTTTTTTTACGCTGTATGAATGGTGGGAATGGAAATTGAGTTGTCCGGTGTATGTCGGTTTGCAGTATACGGATATCTTGAACCCATGCTCTGTTCGAGATATTAGAACATTCAGGAATGGGAGTGTGTTGATACTCTCTTTCTCCATCGTGAACTGTATCGAAGGTCTTATTAAGTTCACATGGTCCAAGGAATCTGAACATTTTCCTGGTGTGGTCAGAGTATGAAGGTGTCATCTACGTATCTTAACCACAGACCTGGCCTTAGAGATATAGATTCCAATGCAATTTCGTCAAAGTATTACATGTATATGTTCGCCATTGCTGGTGATAATGGCGAGCCCATTGCGAATCCCTTGTCCTGTCTATATATCTGTAACCCCATTCCGAAATGTGTTGGTTGTGTACAATGTCGCAAGGTTACAAGTTTCCACCCAACATCGAATGATTTATATCTTACTTATTATGAAATGGACAATGTCCAACAATTATTATGTGTGAAGTCATTTGTTTACATTTGGATACGCATCGAGCAGATATGAATGTACGAGAGAAAATCATGGAGAATTGTAGTTCAAAACAGTAAAATCGACCTTGCTAACCGAAACGCTCCTCTGTGGCTAAATCGGTAAAAAACACGTTAGGCGATATGACGGTTTCGTATAGGATAAGGTTTGATTCCTGTTGGAGGAAGCATATTTTCTATGAAAATTTCTCGGACATTCAGGCCGGTAAATGTTATTTATACTGTTTATTCTAAAGAGAGCATTTACTTAAATATTTGTATCTATAAAAAGAACGTATAAACATTAAAACTGTCTTAAAATAATTGTCGGACTTTGTCCATTTTATAATACATATATGCGTGTGCGTGTGTATGTGTACCTGTGTGTGTATCCCTGTCTATATCTTAGTGTGT